AAGGCTACAGATGAACAGTCAGATGGAAGAGGTGCACACAGTAAGATATGTGGGAAGGGGTGTGGAGTTCCTGCCACCCTCCAGGAACCTCCATATGTTCAGCTATCCAGTCTTTTTGGATTTTTATGGAAGCTTCATTACACAGGCATGACTGATTAAATTATTGGCCATTGGTAATCAACTCAACCTTCAGCCCCTCTCTCCTCACCAAAAGTTGAGGCGGTGGGGCTGGAAGTCCCAATGCTCTAATCATGCCTTATTCTTTCCAGTGACCAATTCTCATCCTGAGGCTATCCAGGGAGAGCCAGTCATGAATCATTAGCATACAAAAAGACACATCACTTTGGAGATTCCAAGGATTTTAGAAGCTGTGTGCCAGGAAATGGGAAGAAGACCAAATATATATTTTACAATATCACAGTTCCCTAACATCATCCAAAGGTGATGAGTGAGGTTTTAAAAAATCATTATGAATTCATGTATGTGAATATATTTGATACTTTTCAGTCCACTGAAGTTATTATACTTGTTGATGCTCAAATTTTCCTATCTTTAATCAGTGGGAGCCTATTTAAGTTGGCTACCAAATCATTTTGACATAACCCTACCGGCCTTTAAAAATTCCCTGCTTTCTGACATGACGAGATGTTCCAGGCTTTCTTTACATGTCCTAATCCAACCCAGGCCTGGGGTTAGCCATTTTTCCAAGGCAGAGGTTCTCAAAGCTTGGCCCAGGGCCTCTTGTGACTCCTTGTGATCCTTTTATGGGGTCCATGATGTCAAGATTATTTCATAATAAGAGTTATCACTCATACCCATGCCCCCAAGGATACTGAGGGTCCCAGGACCCCTCTCAGATACCCAAATCCACAGATGCTCATCTACCTCGTTAAAAGAAAAACTGTAGACAAATTAAGCTTAACAAAGTTTAATTGATCAAGGAAAAAGCAATTCACAAATTGGGTCCTCAGAATCACAGCAAATTCAGAGAGTTATCTCTGCACAGTTGGAGAGATTTTAAGAATAGAAAAAGGAAAGTAAAATACAAAAAAACAGAAGTAGAGGTACAGAAACAGCCAGATTGGTTACAGCTTGGCGTTTGCCTTATTTGGTCCTGGTTTGGACAGTTGGCCACCTGTGAGTGGCTGAAGTATGGCTGCAGTGATTAACTGAGATGCAGTTATTGTTACAGAAGTATGTCTCCATTAGATTTTTCAGTTTGCTTATCTATTAAGTTAGGTTGCAATCCCTAAGTAAAAACTCAAGTATGCAAGTATGGAGACTTTCTTGGGCCAGATTTTAGTTTGGTTTAGCACCCTTATATAAAACGGGGGAGTATTTGCATATAACCTATGCACATCCTCACATATACTTTAAGTCATCTGTAGGTTATGTAACTGGGTACCCCAATTTTTCTAAGAAAAAGATAATGAGTTATTTTTTTTTTATTATTTTTCTTCTTTTCTCTTCTGTTTCTTGCTATTCTCCACTTCCTACTAGCCCGTTTGAAATGCAATTATAACCTTTTACCTCCCCTTCCCCAGACACTCCCTACAGGGAAAGTTCATCTAACAATGTACTTAGAAGCTCCTGAACAAACTCTCGCCTACCAGACGATTGCCTCAAGCGGTAACAGTTGATTTACAACCCGAAGTATACCTGATGAGAAACCCTTTCCCACCAGAAAAGTTTTTGGCCATTTTTATAACTTATGTCTGCGCATAAAGATGCCAACTTGACTGACTAGTAGATAAGGTACCAAGCTACCATGTGGACTTCCCACCCACTTGCTGTCTCCCCTGCCTTTCAAAAGTACCCACTTTCTGCTCCAAAAGTGAAGCAGTACCTTTGAGGCTGGAAGCCCATACTTCTTCCCCTAAGCTAGCTTTGGAATACAAAGTCACTTTCTTTATACCAGACCTCGCTCTTGTTAACTGGACTCTACAAGTGTTGAGTGACTAAACCTGTGTTTCAGTTACAATTACTTATAATACCTAATACAATGTCAATACTCTGTCAATAGTTGTTATGCTGTATTGTTTAAAATTCATATTACTTTTTATTGTTTTTTTTTTTTCCTGAATAGTTTCTATCTGTGGTTGGCTGAATATGTAATTGTAGAACCCACAGATACAGAGGACTGACTATTTGCCCTTTTTATTTTACCCTTATAAAGTCTCATTCTCTCACAAATATACATAGGGATTTTCAGAGGCTATACGATGTGTTACATTATGATGGAATGCAGAGCAGTTATAACAATTCTGCTGTCATTTGTGAAGCAAGACATTAAAGACATTTACAAAAATGTAAAACAATGGCATTCTTCTCACTAATTTTTTAATAAGTACATTGTTACTTTAAAATTTTTAATTTCTAATGCAGTAAACATCAATAGATTTAACCCACATAAACAAAAGCTCTTTGGGATCTCCAACAATTTTTAAGAATTTGAAGATTTCTTGGAAGCAAAACTTTTGAGAACTGCTGCTTCAAGCAGTCCTAGTCCCTTTCAATGGAAAATGTACATGAGAGATCACAATCTAAGAACAAAAGATGCTCATGATTACTGGTTTGGCAATTTCTTCTAGGCCATTATCAACAGGCAGAGCTAAGACAAAATGATATACATTTTTTAAGATAAAATACAATATGAGTTCATACTGATTCTTTCCGTTCATAATTTAAGACTATAGGATTTTTACTTAAACACATATAATTTATATACATATCTCCTTTCTCCCATACCAAAAAATACCAGTTTTTAGAGTACTCATGTAAACAGTTATTTTCAGTGTCAGATTAACAATACCATGATCAACACCACTATCCCCAATATGATTACTTAAAACAGGTTAAGATTTTTTCAAGTTTTTCTTTGTCTTTGCAGGTTATCTCACTGTAGATTTACAATAATTCAATGGTTTAAATTTATAGTTGATCTTTGAAAAAAACAGGTTGAACTTCAAGGGTCCATCATATGTGGATTTTCTTCTGTCTCTGGCACCCCAAGACAGCAAAACTAACCCCTCTCTTTGCCTCCTTATGATTTTCTTAATAACAGTTTATTTTTTCTGGCTTACTTTATTGTAATAATATAGTATATAGCACATATACAAAATGTGTGTTAGTTGACTGTATGTTATCAGTAAGACTTCTGGTCAACAGTAGGCTATTAAGTTTTCGGACAGTTGAAAGTTATATGTGGATGTTTGAGTGTGCCGAGTGGAGGGGACTGGCACTTCTAACCCCATAATTGTTACAAGGGCTATTGTATTTAGAATGATGTGTACCTTTGAGATTATGCCACCAAGTGGACCAGTTAGAGCTACTGGTTTTTACTTGATTTTTTTATGGACTGCTTTTTGTAAATTTAATTTTGTTTTATAATGATATTGCTAAAATTAAAATTTTAGAAAAATTAAATTTAGCAGAAATTAATTGAGCAATGACTAATTTGAGAATCAGACAGCCCTCAGAACCACAGGAGGTTCAGAAAGTATCGTTCCACAAAGAGGCCAGGCAGCACTCATAGAAAAAAAACAGAAATGAGATACGGAAACAGCTTGATTGGCTACAGGTTGGCCTTTGCCTTATTTGAACATGGGCTGATCAGTCGACCACCTGTGATGATTGACTGAGACTCAGTTATTTGTTACAGAAGTATATTCCTAAGTTAAGCTGTGAGTTAAATTGCATACTAAGTTGGGTTGCAGTTCATTATATAAGGGCTCAAAATAGGGAGACATCTTTAAGCTAAATTTAGTTTCACAATGTGAAATATTTACTTGGTTCTAAAGTCAAATGTATGAAGTAAGATGTTTCCAGAGATGTCTAGATTCTATCCCTGTCTCCTCTATCCTATTTATTTCCTCCACCATAGGTAACATCTTAAAAAACCTCAATTGTTTTCTTTCCCATTATTTTGAAATTTTAAGAAAATATGTATATATATTGAAATTACCACCATCTTTCTCTTTTTGGGTAAAAGCATACTGTATAAATTCCTATCCATTTTTTTTTTCACTTTATAATGTATCCTGGAAATCACACCACAGATGTATATAGAGTTCTTCCCCATTACTTTTCTCAATTGTATTAGCATTTCATTGCTTTGTTGTGTGAAAGTTTTTGGGAAGCCACTGTTTTGGACTAGCCTCATGCACTAGGCCCCAGCAGACCAGACCAAATCAGAATGGAGTCGTTTGTGCTAAGTACAACGTAATCAAACTGAACTTTGAAATGGGCCAGTTTTCCAAAAAATGGGAAATTCCCCTAAGCCTGAGTCAGTGAAACAAGGAAGTTCCCTCTGCTTTAACTCTAAGAGAAAAATAACTTTGAAACGACGAGTCTGCTTTTTGTTCTGTTTCTGCTTTCTTCAGCCCCTATTTGCCAATAAAACCAACCGCCCCTGCTCAGCTGATCAGAACACTCATTCTACTTTATAGAATGGGGTATTTTCTGAGTCTAGAATCACAAATAAGAGTCAATTAAGATTTTTAAACTAATTCATTGTAACGCTGTCTTTCGACTGTTGTACTGTAATTTATTCAAGCATTCCTTTATTTAGGAATTTGGGGGTAATTTCCAATATTTTGGTATTACGAATCATGCTGAATAGTCGTGCATGCCCTTTCATATTTTCACCACACGTATTTTTGGGTGAAAGCATGAATGCATCCATGCAATTTTGCTAGATATTAAGCTACTCTTTTCACTATTTCTGTACAGATGGAGGGACAGATGAGACAGCTGCCTGGGGCACTTCAGCAGTTACTGGCACAGCTGGGATTTGAACTTGGATGTTAACTATTTTCATACACTCTCTAGGTCATTCCAAGGTGGCAGAGACAAGCAAATAATTTCATATCTGGACAGCATATTCACTGAAACACTTATGCTTATCCTTCCTGCTCCCAGCATACAAGTTCTTCCTTAGCAAAACCTCCAGTCCTCTAATTTAGCATACTTTCGTCTAATCTGTCACTTTCCTCAGGCCTCACAACTAAGAGCACTCCTCGTCCCCACCCGGTAATAATCTGGTCGGGTATAGCGGCGGTGGGCGGAGAGAGAATTGGAGGTGGAGAGCTTTGCGCATGCCCGGACACTTAGAACTCTGGGGCCCCTGCAGAGGCAGGACCAGGATGTGACGTAATAACCGCGCGCGGCGCCCGGCGTTCCCACAAGGTCGCTTTGCAGAGCGGGAGCGAGGTTAAGTAACTAGTCCCTAGTTCGAGGGTGGGTCGTGTCCTTTTGCCTTGGTACCAGCGGAGACATGACGGGATATACTCCGGATGAGAAACTGCGGCTGCAACAGCTGCGAGAGCTGAGAAGGCGATGGCTGAAGGACCAGGAGCTGAGCCCTCGGGAGCCGGTGCTGCCCCCACAGAAGATGTGGCCTATGGAGAAATTCTGGAATAAGTTTTTGGAGAATAAATCCCCTTGGAGGAGAACGGTGAGTGACAGACCTCTCCGGTCCCCCCTCAACACACCCCACCGCGGCCAGCAGCCCGGACACTGAACGTCCGCTCCCTGCAGCCACACCAAGGACTGATAACCGCTCCGTGCTGGGAAACACTGGCCAGTCCCGAGAGCGCTCCTGGAGTCCCGGGAGGCAGGAGTCCGGGAATATGTATGGCTTTGAGAGAATCATGCCTTTTATTGTCAAGTACAGTGAGACGGGGGCGAATTTTAATACTTAGGTTTTCCAGGACGCTGCACATTTGGTTCTCTTTTGACTGTAGAAATCTTCCCTCAGAATAATAGCCAAGGACTCGCTAGAATTAAAATTCTGTGATTTAAGTATTTGAGGACACTTGTCTAACTTCTAAGTGTGACGTTCGAGAGATCAAGTAACACAGTATCCAACTACCAGAGGGCACAGCCAGCCCCTAGCTGGTAGTACAGCCCCATGTGATCCCCGTAAAAGACAGGGTCCTGTTGGTATGCCTTGTGAGTCACATTCAAGAGCTACCTTTCTAAACTACCGTTCTGTACTTTTAACACAGGGTTTCGTTAAAAAATGACATTTTGGACTTTGAAGAAAATCACTCATTCAAGAAATTTATTTTCAAGGCCTCTGGGTATTTTCTTGAGGTCTGTTATGGGTGATAAACATCTCAGAATTGCTTTCAGTTACCTACAACACTTACTGATAATAGTAGTAATAATACTAAGTAACACCTGGGTGCTTGCTGTGTACTTGGCACTCTACTGAGGGTTTTACAAGTGTTACTTCATTTCTTTATTCCTGCAAGGTAGATATTCCTAATCCTCACTTTAAATGTGAAGAAACTGAGGCCTATAAAGATTCAGTGATTTGCCGGTGGTCAGGGAGCTAGGAATTGAAGGAGTTCATATTGAAATCAACATGTACCTATTTCTTACTGTGCTACAAAGTCTAGTGCAATAGAATTGTTGAAAATTTTTTCTGAGAAAGTGGTATTGGATACTTATTTATGGTGGTAAAATTCAACTCTTCTCTCACCCTTTGTATCCCTGACATTATCGGGATATTGGCAGTCACTGATTTAAGTTGACATCCCATCCATCAGCCAGTGATAAAAGGAAGTAAATAAATTATCATGTGTTGAAATTCACCTTACCTTAATGTATTCTTTTATAATCATATCTGTTATAATTCTTAGATTCTTGATTGTCCCTTCCTTGAATGGATAGGTGTTTTGTAATCAAATTGGAGGACATGGGAAAGTTCCATTTTTAGTTCTTTTTTAAAATAGTGTTGCAGAGGGCATTTTGGAGTGAGTTTGGGACACCCATCTTAGTATGTAAAATGTCCTTTTTCCAGCATTGGTGTTGTCAAGGTTTTCTGCCTTATACTTAAAATAATGTGAGTGCCATTGATCGATAAATAAGGGAGATGACTATACCTGAAAAATTATGAGGTTTGATTACTCTGGTTAAATACATTAAAATTATTATTTCATTAATTTGCTCTATTTTATCTTTAACAAACTTATAATAAGGGTATTTTTTAAAGTCTTTAAAAAATCTATAAATGCTTTGCTATAGTCTTGCAAAATACTACTTAAGCATTTTGGTCTGGACTTTGTAGGTATCTTCTAGTGGACTCTGCATTTACTAAGAATATTTGAGTAGATGAGGTTATCTACAAACTATAAGAAAATATGTACCATTTAGAGTTTTGTAAAATAATAATGACATTGTTACATCATTGATGCTTTTTGTTCTGCCATAAATATGAAAAATGGGATATGTTTATTTTGTGTATGTGTTTTTTCCGCCAGGTCCATGGGGTATACCAAAAGGGTATCTTTATTTTCACTCATATACTTGTACCTGCCTGGATTATTCATTATTACCTGAAGTATCATGTGTCTGTAAGTATGTCCTCTTCAGAATTTATTTTTATATTGTCCAAAATTATTTTCTATGTGGATATCTTACCCTACTTAGTGGAAATAATCTGCCACTTATAAATGGATTTTGAAGTACTTTGAATTCTCTTAGGTAAAAGGTTTAATGAAAGTTATGTAATTGGGTATAGTTTTTTAAAAAAATATTGTGACTAGTTTACAACTTGGAATGGATTTCCTCATAGAAATTGGTATTTAAGAGATAAGAATGTAGTGACCTAATAATACTAGGGTAAATTTGGGGTCATGAATAGGAAAGGAGAAAAGAATTTCTGCTCCTTTTAAAAAACCTATATCTGGTATAAGATAAAAATTCAAAATAGACAAAGCTTATCTTTGTCATCATCCCATTTCTGTTTCCTTCATTTTATCTGATTCTTCACAACTTTTATTTATTTAGAACTCAGGATGTCCAGATGCCTGCACTTTTTCACTGATACAGATCTTGCATGGGCTGATTGAACTGAGCCAGTCGTGGTATTTTAAATGCTCAGTCTGGTGCAGGGTGTTGGATCCCAGGCAGAATGAGAAGGGCGTGCATTTTGGGAAGTGGCGTGGCAGAGGGAGCAGTGGAGTGTTGGAACACAAAAGAGTGAGGAGGGCATTTGTATACCAAGAGAGGGGTGTTAGATCCTGAGTGGGTTGCAGGGGAGAAGGGTGAGCACGTCTGTTTGGGGGGCAACAGTGGCAACAACCTAGTATGGGATATTAGTACCTGAGCAGAGGGAGGAGGACATCTGGAAGAAGGATGGTATGAGGCAGTGAGGCAAGTGATAACTTAGAGTAAGATGTCAGAACCTGAATGAGGTGAGGCAGGTATTCATGCTGGGATGTGGTTGTGGTGACAGGAGATGGGTTATATATAGGGAGATTGATCAAATACAGGCATACCTCAGAGATACTACAGAATTGGTTCTAGACCACTGCAGTTCCAAAAGTATTCTTTGGTTCTAGACCACCAAAATGAGTTACACAAATTTTTTGGCTTCCTAGTGCATATAAAAGTTATGTTTACACTGTGCTGTAGTCTCAGTGTGTAATAGCAGTATGTGTAAAAGAACAATGTATATGCTTTAATTTAAAAATACTTTATTGCTGGGCCATGTGCGGCGGCTCCCACCTGTAGCCCTAGCATTTTGAGAGGCCAAGGCAGGAAGATTGCTTGAGGCCAGAAGTTCGACCAGCCTGGGCAACATAGTGAGACTCCATCTCTACAAAAAAAAAAAAAAAAAAAGAGCTGGATGTGGTGGTCCACACCTGTAATCCCAGCTACTCAAGAGGCTGAGATGGGAGGATTGCTTGAGCCCAGGAGGTCAAGGCTACAATAAACTGTGATTGCACCACTGCACTCCAGCCTAGGTGCCAGGGTGATATCCTGCCTTAAAAAAGCAGGCCGGGCATGGTGGCTCACACCTGTAATCCCAGCACTTTGCGAGGCCGAGGCGGGTAGATCACGAGGTCAAGAGATAGAGACCATCCTGGCCAACGTGGTGAAACCCTACCTCTACTAAAAATAAAAAAAAATAGCTAGGCATGGTAGTGCGTGCCTGTATCCCCAGCTACTCGGGAGATTGAGGCAAAAGAATCACTTGACCCTGGGAGGCGGAGGTTGCAGTGAGCTGAGATCGTGCCTTTGCACTCCAGGCTGGCGACAGAGCGAGACTCCGTCTAAAAAAAAAAGAAAAAAAGAAAAAAAAACTTCATTGCTAAAAAATGCTAATGGTCATCTGAGTATGATCTTTTTGCTAGTGGAAAGTCTTGCTTCGATGTTGATAACTGCTGACTGATCAGGGTGATAGTTGTTGCAGGCTGGAGTGGCTGTGGCAATTTCTTAGTATAAGACAACAGGTTGGGCACGGTGGCTCACGCCTGTAATCCCACCACTTTGGGAGGCCAAGGCAGGTAGATCACGAGGTGAGGAGTTCAAGACCAGCCTGGCCAAGATGGTGAAACCCTGTCTCTACTAAAAATACAAAAATTAGCTGGGTGTAGTGGTGGGTGCCTGTAATCCCAGCTACTCAGGAGGCTGAGGCAGGAGAATCACTTGAACCAGGGAGGCAGAGGTTGCAGTGAGCTGAGATTGCACCACTGCACTCCAGCCTGGGCAACAGAGCAAGACTCCGTCTCAAAAAAAAGACATTTTTTATATATATATATATTTGACAACACTGCTGAGGTTTGCCACATCTATTGACTTTTATTTTCATGAAAGATATCTCTGTAGCATGAGATGCTGTTTGATAGCATTTTACCCACAGTAGAACTTTTGGAGTCAGGCCTTTGAAACCATGCCGCTGCTTTATCAACTAAGTTTATGTAATATTTGAAATATTTTGTTATTTCAACAATGTTCATAGCATCTTCACCTGGAGCAGATTCCATCTCAAGAAACCACTTTGTTTGCTCATCCAAAAGGAGCAACTTCTCATCTATCAAGCTTTATCATGTGATTGAGGCACTTCAGTCACATCTTCAGGCTCCATTTCTAATTCTAGTTCTTTTGCTATATCCACTACATTGAGAGTTCCTTCCTGCACCGGTCTTGAACCCCTCAAAGTCATCCACGAGAGTTGAAATCAACTTCTTCCAAACTCCTGTTCATGTTGATGATACTTTGACCTCCTCCTATTAATCACAAATCTTCTTAATGGCATATAGGATGGTAAATTCTTTCCCAGAAGATTTTCCATTTACTTTGCTTTGATCCATCAGAGGAATCACTATCTTTTTTTTTTTTTTCTTTTTGAGACAAGGTCTTGCTGTGTCACCCAGGCTGGAGTGCAGTGGTGCCATCTTGGCTCACTGCAACCTCCGCCTCCCAGGTTCAAGCAATTCTCCTGCCTTAGCCTACCAAGTAGCTTTTGAAAGAAAGTGAGAAACATGCAGCTCTTCCTTTTATTTGAACAGTTGGAGGTCATTGTAGTATTATTATTTGGCCTAATTTCAATCTTGTTGTGTCTCAGGGAATAGAACGGTCCAAGGAGAGGGAGAGAGGTGGGGAATGACCAGTTGGTGGAACAGTCACAACATACAACATTTACTGATTAAATTCACTATCTTATATGGGTGTGATTTGTGTTGCCCCTAAAATTTATAGTAGTAACATCAAGAATCACTGAGTGCAGATTACCATAACAAATATTAATATAACAATAATGACAAAGTTTGAAGCCAGGCGCGGTGGCTCACACCTGTAATCCCAGCACTTTGGGAGGCTGAGGCGGGCAGATCAGCTGAGGTCAGGAGTTCGAGATCAGCCTGGCCAACATGGTGAAATACAAAATTTGGCATCTCTACTGAAAATACAAAAATTGACCGGGCGTGGTGGTGCACGTCTGTAGTCCCAGCCACTCGGGAGGCTGAGGCAGGAGAATACCTTGAACCTGGGAGAATGAGGTTGCAGTGAGCCAAGATCCTGCCACTGCACTCCATCCTGGGTGACAGAGCGAGACTCCATCTGAAAAAGTTTGAAATATTGGGAGAATTACCAAAATATTGCACAGAGATGGGAAGTGAACACATGCTCTTAGAAAAATGGCACTGAGTTTCCGGGATTGGGGCCCGGCCCATGCCAGCTTTGCAGAGCACACCTGGTGTAGACCCCAGCAGCCAGGGCCACGACCAGCTTGAGCAGCTGGCCAGCAGGTGCCACTCCCTGCAGGGCCTAGAGGCCTTGAGGACATCTGCAGTGCTCCAGAAGCCCAAGACCGTGACGCTGCGGGCCCTGTGCAGCCAGAGGAAGTTTGGCGTGGTGGGCAGGAGCTGCAGGGAGGTGCTGCGCAAGGGCTGCCTCCGCTTCCAGCTCCCTGAGCACGGCTCCCGGCTGTGCCTGTACGAGGATGGCATGGAGCTGACCGAAGACTACTTCCCCAGCGTCCTCGACAATGCTGAGCTCCTGCTGCTCACCTCGGGCCAGGCCTGGCAGGGATATGTGAGTGACATCGGGCGTTTCCTCAGTGCTTTTCGCGAGCCGCACGCTTGGCTCATCCAGGCCGCCCGACAGCTACTGTGTGATGAGCAGGCCCTGCAGAGGCAGAGGCTGCTGGCCGACCTCCTGTACAACATCAGCCAGAACATCACAGCCGACACCCAGGCTGAGGACCCGCTGTGGTTTGAAGGCTTGGAGTCCCAATTTTGGAATAAGTCTGGCTATCTGAGATATAGCTGTGAGAGCCAGATCCGGAGTTACCTGAGAGAGGTGAGCTCCTGCTCCTCCGTGGTGGGTGCAGAGGTTCAGGAGGAATTCCTGCAGGTCCTCCGCTCCATATGCCAGAAGCTCCAGTCTGTGCAGTGCAATGGCATCTACTTCGACAGAGGAGCCAAGGGTGGCAGCCGTCTCTGCACACCGGAAGGCTAGTTCTCCTGCCAGAGTCCCTTTGACATGGATGGCTGCTTGTCGAGATACTCCATCAACCCCTAAAGTAACAGGGAGAGCAGGATCCTATTCAGCACCTGGAACCTGGATCACATAATAGCAGAAACGTACCATCATTCCTACACTGGGTGGAAGCAATTAAAGAACAAGATGGAAGAGAAATGGACTAGGAATATTTTTATGGCCTGCTTTTTACGTCAGAGAACCTAAAATTAGTGCACATTGTCTGCCATAAGAAAACCATCCAAGACCAGCTATGACCTGAACAGAATCTACAAATCCGAGACAAGGTTGAAGAGGAAATGGCCTGTGCGAAAGTGCCAGTGACACGTACACACCACATTCTCGTCTTTGCTCGAGGCCTGACGTGGGCATAATGTTAACAGGTGCCTTTTTTTTTTTTGGTCCAGTAGCTCCTGGAAAAAAACCTTAAAAAATATTTCCAGCAAATCTGATTTCAGTACATTTCTGAATCGTTGTTTGTTTGTTTTTTGAAATGGAGTTTCACTTTTGTTGCCCAGGCTGGAGTGTAGTGGTGCGATCTCGACTCACTGCAACCTCCGCCTCCCGGGTTCAAGTGATTCTCCTG